TAATGCTAGTCTGCCCCAAATGCAACTGAATGGATGAACAGGGAGTTGTGAAAAGAATCATCTCTAAAGGAAAGTGAGTGTGGGTTACTATTCGTTCAAAAGCTAAGTGACAAATCTGGCCATGTGGAGGGTCTTCTGAAAGGTCAGGTAAACGTATATGTCATAATCAATTTTAACTTTGGAAATGTTATATCGCCATCATCCATGGTGTGTTCACAGACCTCTGCAATATGTTTAATAGATATTCCGTGAATATCATGGCTCCATAGTCATTGTGAAAAAAAAACAAAAACTTCTTTACTAAATTTCTCAGAGCCTTTAATACGTTAAAGTAAATACGTATTACTTTCTACAGGCTTTCCTCATACTTTTGACCATAGGAATACTTTTTCCAGGTGAATCCCTCAAAACTTTTGTTTTATAGACTATATTCTAAGGTATTAAGTTCTAGGTAAATTTTCTCTAATCAAGAAAAGAAAGAAAAGGTTTTTGCTTTCACATCTTTTTATCGCAGGCAGGCCCAACCCTGTCCACACCAGTCCATTCCTAGTCCTGATGGGCTCTAGGATGTTCTAATATTAACATGCCTCTTCCCAGATAAGATATGGCCACTTTCAGGAAAAAAAAAAAAACCACACACACAAAAAAACACTCCACACATACAAAAAAACCACATTCTCATCTTTATTGCCAATAAAGCTGGTGCTGAAGAACGTGGCTTCTAAAAGGAGCAAATAGGTTTCCTAATCTGAAACCCAGAATTAGATTGAGCTCCATCCAGCTGCAGGATACGCTGAGCTGCGGCAGGCTTCCGGCAGGCTTCCCACGTGGCAGGAAGTCCCTGCAGAGGGTCAGAGCAGAGGGAACCATGTGTTCTTGGTGGTCCTCCCATTCTCAAGACAAGGGAAAAGGAAAGGGCAGAACCACACAGCCAAGTCCTTTCAAATCACCAACCCCAGGACTGGAGTAGAGGGAGGCCTGGTGCCCCCTGCCCACCCCCCCCCTTCTCACCACCAAGGCCCCCACCCAAACTAGTCTGTTCTAGGTGACCCAAATGGGCATGTGGTTTCCCTTTTTAATACTGGGGATTTCTCTCTTTTCATCTTCCCTTATCCCTACTGCTCACACTTCACCATCATCTCTCTTCTCAACCCAATTCACCCCGTAGAAGGGATCATGATGATAGTATTACTGTTCCTTCCTCATCTTCTTATAGAATTCAAACACAATTCAGCCTTTTATCTGAAAAGGTTGAGTGCATATATTCTCTAACACGGGGATCAGGAAATTACAGCCCGGCTGTGGTCTTTGTAAATCCAATTTGATTGGGACCAGGCTTCCCTCATTGGTTTACGTATTGTCTGTGGCTGCTCTCAGCTCCAATGGTAGAGTCAGGAAGTTGCAGCCGAGAAAGTGTGGCCCATAAAACCAAAATGTTTTCTCTCTGGTCGTTTATAGAAAACAGTAGCCAACCCCTAATCTAAAATATAGATGAATTTCACTTCTGTTAGTCCTGAAAGAGCTTCATTTGTATGTATAAGTAGCCTTTATCATTTACTCACTCTAACTAAAAACTATATTTTAAACTATATTTAAGAACATGGCACACTGTAGTATAAGAGGGATTTTTGCCTCTTAGGAAATTGTTTCTCGCCTTACAAACTTCTGGAAAAGGATCCAGAGGACTGTGTTTGCTCTGACGGACTGGAAGGAGGACAGCGTCTGGAAGGAGGACAGTATTTGCCATCATTATTGGGAAGGGAGGAGATTAGATAATCCGTGGGGCCTATGGTAGAACAAAGGAGTAGAGAGAAGTGCCTAGGGGCCCCGGGCGTTGGAGCAGCACAAGATTCTGTCTTCAGAGAGCAGGAGTCTTAGCTCTTCTCTTTAGGCCCTGCTCTCTAACTCAGAGATGTGCTCCCTCCCATCTCAGCCCATCCCTCAGAACCTTCCACAGAATTCCCAGAGATAGCACACCTGGCTCTGGTCCTACCCAGACTGCCTTCTACCTGGGAGATCTGGGCATTTCACTGAGTGCTCTGGCCCTGAGGGTTCACTCACCTGTAACCTGGGGCCTTGGGGTGGGGAGAATGTCTTTTTAAACCAGAGCAAGAATTCAGTGTGGTGGTATACAGAAGGCTTTATGAAATGTGAAGTACTGTAAAATGTTGGTGGTTTTTCTTTTTAAGCAGCTGATTTGCCCGTGAAATTTTTGAATCTATCCAGCATATAAATTAGAGTCAACTGATGTTTGAAAACTAAAGTACCTTGTTTCACATTTGTCACATGCATCTTGCTTTTATAAAAGTGCCTACCTTTCATGTGGGTTATAAAAAATTGACAAATTAACTGATTTATTTTTATTTTATTTTTATTTTATTTTATTTATTTTACCATGACAGAATAATTCGTCAATGGGAGGAATGAAACTTTAAAAATTTTATTTCTTTGTGACTTTTCTTTCTGGTGTTTGTGTAGTTTTCCTCTTGTGCCTTTGTTTATAGAGAATCTCGCAAAAGGCATTTTTCCTTGTAATCAGTAAATAGTGATTCTAGAATCGCTTCCAGGAAGATGTGCTGAGTGATGCCAGCAACACTGGTGATAGCGTTCTGGCTATTCAGGCTGTGGGAGAACCAGGGAAAGTCTTATATAGATACACACCTTGAACTCAGAAAGTGGCAAAGGAAGCACATTGAATGCTTTTAGCCAAATGATTTTAGCCTAATACAGTGTGTGACTGTGGGATGGAGTAGAAATCATTTTGAAAGGTAAAAATTAATTAATTAATTAATTGTTCTTAAGATTTTTTTTTTTTTTTTATCTTAAAAGGCAACAAAGCTTTCATTTCTGGTGATTTGTATATTCATAAGCATCTTGCATGGGAGTTATGAAACGATCCTGACCTCATTGTACAATACCTTGGCTATTCATGCTGCCATGCTCTCTGCCTATAACCAAGCAAACTAAACTCCTGTTCATTGGTATTGCTGCCTGTGATCTGCTTACCCCAACCTCCAGAGAGAAGCGGGTTTCCGAAAACAAGATTCTTTATAAGCAAATAAATGGTTCCTTTAAACACTTAAAAATCAAAATAGTTTAGTGATATCCTGGGTCACAAAAGTAGATTGATTCAATTTTCAATTAAAATTAACTACTATCTTTTTCATGTAAATACTTACTAAATTGATTGGGGGTGACTGGTCAACATGAATATATAGGTTTCAGGTGTGGGTTTCAATGTTACAAGATCTGTATATTGTACCATGTGTACCACCACCCAAAGTCAGATCTTCTCCTGTCACCTCATATTAGGACCCTCTTCTCCTCCACCTCTGGCAGTTACCACACTGCTGTCTGTGTTCTCGAGTTTCAGTTTTGGATCCAACATATGAGTGAAATCATATAGTTCTTAGCTTTTTTTGGTTGATTTCACTTAGCATAATGTTCTCAAGGTCCATCCATGTTGTTGCAAATGGTTAACTGTATTATCTTATAGATGTAACCTAAAGTTCCTAATGCTTTTGTCTTAATATGATTAACTGTTTTCAAAATCTAATAAGTTATGCCACAATTATGGATCACTGGTAATAATACATTATAGTGGTATTTCATAGATTTGCCTTTTAAGTTTCACAAATATGTTTTAAAAGAAAGAGACTAACTGGATGCTGAAATACCATTTTTATGACATACCATTTAGTATTACTTTGTCACTTTTATAGACTGGAAACCATAAAGAGACATTCATTAATTCAGCTATTGTTTATTAAAAACACCTATTATGTGCTCTGTCCTGGCCAGCTATTTATGTTACGTATAGCTGAGAACAAAGCTTTTAGGCTGGCATATGTATTAATGTGCTTGGATTTTAAACACTTTGGGGAATTAAATAAACTACCAATTTAATTACTGCTTCAGGATTTTAGAATTTAACAGAATTTTGTTTAATCCTTTAAAATTTACACGAGGTTCTTGCTTCCTTGGTAAACTAAACTTTTGCATTTCATACGGAAAAGTTAACCTCAGCCTTTCTTACTCCCATACTTTATATGACCTGTGACCTTCCTTCTATTAACAAATTCCTAACCTTTAGTATCAACCAAGTCATCTTCTGTGAATTTTGTAATTAACCTTTTGTGGACATTCCTGAGCTGGCTTAATTTTATGGGACAAGCAGTTTACCAATGACTAAGTTAACCTCTCATTATGCTTGAAAGAAATAGGCTAATTGTTTCTTTACTTACCCTGTGTTCATCACAGATCATTAGTGATAATAAATAAAAACAGGCCATTAACAAATTAGGTTATGCTCATACTTACCTGTGGTTGTGTTTGTCCCGTGTTCTCGGAGCCAGCCTACTCACCAACTTCATTTAGTATAATTCACCCAGGCACAGCCTTCGGTGTCAAAGTAGAACCGAAAGCCAGTTTATGAATTTCTTTCTATTCTTTCCTGCTGTAAAGGTTGTTTAATATTTGGTTAATTATTACATGCAAATATATGTATCTACTTAGAGGCAAATCCACAGATATACAAAACCTTATAAAGCATAAACCTTATTAAAAAATAAACTAATTTGGAAGGCAGTTATCATATTATAAAGACTTTTAATTTGACAATAACTTTCCTTCTTTAAATTATATGCTTTCCTAGTTTATTTGCAATATGACTTGATTTACAAAATGTAAATTCACTTCATTTGTCTACTGTAAACCTTTATAAAACAGGATATATTTCCGGTTTACATGTGTGTGTGTGTGTGTGTGTGTGTTTGTGTGTGTATTTATGTATGTGTGTGTATCTGTCTATGATAGCTGAGACCTCAATAAAATTACTATTCTTAAAAATTCACTTATTTACTTTTATCAAAGGAAATAGTAGTTGATTCCATAATGTGAAACATATAATATCAAAAGATATCTCAAAGAAATAGAAGACAGTTTGGCCTCAATGAGATGATAAAGTTTTCTGTTTTTGTTTTTTTTCTTTTGCTTCTTAGGAGATACAGAAAATGAGCAGAGAATGGCAGCAAGCGGTAACACTTCAGAAGTAGAAGACAACCAACCGGTAAGTGAAACTCCTCTGAGTCCTTTTGTGGTAAACTGAACGAATCACGGTGACTATATGTTTCTCTGAGGCTGAACAATCACTCTACTCTTGCTATGCAGACTGGTGTCTAGGTACCAAGAAACAAGTCATCAGCTCTAAGTCAAGGATGACAAGACAGCATGACTTCCCAAGCGCTAAGCTTTCCTGGTGTTGGAAATAGAAACTTCCAGTGGAAAAGAGAGAAACAGAGCACTCATGTTAAAACATTGGAGCTATTTCTGATTGAGTGGTTATCTGCCAATACATTTGAATAACTAGATAATGTATGAACTTATAGAGGAAGGCTTGAAAATAACCTTTTTCCAACATCAAAATGCAATCCTTGACTTTGTTCCGTAGAAAGACTAGGGTATTTGTTATTTTCCACATGGAAAAGCTATTTGTTCTTGAAAATGTGTTCAGTACAATTTTGTATACTTAGGTAGGATCATATTAATTTTTAAGACTTAGGAGGAATGTTAATTTTTAGGGCTGAAGGGATATCCATGAATTTTGAAACTTTCTACATGGTGACACACCTCTACTTATATTCTACTGTAGTGCATGAGGGTATTCTGTATACAGTGGAGTGGGGTCATCTCCATATCCCAACACTCTGTGCTAGGCTTTGGGGATATGCTTCATCTCCATATCCCCAAAGCCTAGCACAGAGTAGACAGTCAAAAAGATTGGTTGAATGAATATAATCATGAATTTTAAGTAGCCAGTAATATGTGTTTTAAGAAGAAATATTTTTTATTTTTTATATTCAGATTTTTCCATAATGAATGAATGTTTTATAATGAAGAAAAACTCATTTAAAGAGAGATGTAGGGAGGAAATTTATGTAGAGGAAGAAAAGTATCATCTTTCCCATGAAACTGCATTAGTTTTTCATTCATGCGTACAACAAATATTTATTAAGCACTGGCTGTCTTCAAGGCGCCATGTAAGGAGTATACAGTGGTGGAAAAAAATAAAATAAAACCCACAAAAACAGATACAGTGACAAAGAAATATGTTCCGCCTTTACATTAAAAAGATCTCTTTCATTTATTCAAACATTTTGTGACTACTGATCTTCAGTAGCATCTTGGATGGGAAATAAAGGTTGGTGTATTTGAACTTTGAGAAAGAACCACCAGAATGGTTTAAAAATCATCCATAATCATTGATTGTAATTGCTTAGTTATGGGAGTCACTGGAAATGTCTGAAGTACTTGATTATCTTTCAGAGTTGATTCATTCATGGAAATAATTCCAAGGTTAATAACTCTTAATTTTATTAACTTTTGTGATTATGATCCTCCCATATTTCAAACTAGCTCATTATTGTGCTGTTTTCTGGTCTATTATTCAACCAGTTCTTAAAGACTGGATTTACTATACACTCATGCTGTAAGAGATATTTCAGAAGTGCCGTCTATTTGAGTAGCAGCTGGACATTCAGAGGGTAGTGTTTGCTATCAGAGAGCTTACTTATGTAGCAAAAAAATAATGGGAGACTGCAAATGAGAATGCAGGGGTAAATCCAGTATGAGAGGCTGATAATAAAGTTCTTTAGAGTCTATGTGTTATTTGCCACAGAAAAGCCAAATAATCATTTACCTCAACCTTAAGTGTCTGAAATGAAATTCATTATTCCTCTCCTCTAAAGATCCAAAAACAAAACCATTGCTGCTTGTTTCCCACCGTCCCCCCTATCCCATAGTCTCCCTTGGTCAGTCAAGGTAAATCTTAACCAGCCTCATGGTTTGAGATTCTGTGTAGCCCTGGCCTGTGCTCAGTGGTTAGAGCACTAGCGTGGACTGAGGGTTTGCAGATTCCATTCCAATCCAGGGCACATACCTTGGTTGCAGGCTGGATCCCCAGCCCCTGTCAAGGCACATGCTGGAGGCAGTCAATAGATGTGTGTCTCTCACATCAATATCTTTTTTCTCTCTCCCCCCCTCCCTTCTGCTCTCTATAAATCAATGGAAAAATATCCTTGGATAAGGATTAAAGTAGAAAAATAAATAAAAATAAAATAACAAAATATTTTTATGTAGAGCCTGATGACTCCCAAAGTCTATCTCCTCCTAGACCTATCTCCTAAACTGTACACTATGTCTAACTGCCTACTTACTGTTTCACTTACAAGTTTCTAGACAGTTCAGCCTTTACTTAACCAGAGAAGGGTTGATTCTTGGGCCTGCCACCCTGAGCTTCTGTCTGCTTAACTTCCCACGAACTCTGTTGAATATTCCCCTCCTCCCCATAGTGGTCTAGAATCCAAACCCCTGAGGTTCCTGACTTTCCCTCACATTCCACAGCCAGTCCATCAGGAAGCCAACCCCTCTATGCACAGAATCTGACCCCTTTTTAACATGGTTCTGTTAGAACCAAGTCTGAGCCTCCACTTTCTCCAGGACTCTGCCTTCATTCTTCCCTCTTAAGCCCATTCTCCACACAGCAGACAAGAAATATAAATCAGATCACATCCTTCCTGCCGGCTGAGCTCCCGACTGTGGCTGCACGGAGTTCCATGCGCGCTGCAGCCTCATTTTCCTCTGCACCCTCCAAGCCCCACCCCATCCCCAGCTGCCTTTCTGTCCCTGGACCACCTAAGCTCTTTCCCACCCCAGCCTTTGCATTTGCTCTCCCTTATTTGCCACAGCTTCGCTTGGCTGCCTCATTATCCAGGTCTTCATTCAGGTGTCACTTTTCCTGACTGTCTCAGCTAGCGTGCCCTTCGCCGGTCACTCCCAGAACCCTCTTCTCCAGCATGTTTATCACTGTCTCAGATTATTCCTTTGTTTACTGCCCACCTCCCCTGAATACAATGAAAACAGACCTCGTGTCTGTACCTAGAAGGTGCTCAATAAGTACACCTTAACTGGCAATCTACATTTTATTGAATGTCATCATCTGTCTGCCAAGTTCAAGGCCTAAAATTACCATTTTGACTCATCAAATGCATCATCCAGTCCTACTGATGTTCCCTCTCAAATATCTTCCAAATCTGGTTCCTCATACTCTGAGTAGCTCCTCAGCTGCTCGCCAAACTGTTTATTAGACAAGCAGTTTCTTTCCCAAACCTCTGTCTAAAAATAGCAAGTTTTGTTACTTCTGACCCCCCAAATGCCTTAAAATCTGCAGAATAAAGCTTAACCCTGAAACCCTGTTCAAATGTCACCTCCTTTGTGAGCTCTTTTTCCTGCTCCCTCAGCCAGAGATGACTACAGGGTCCTGCTACCACTCGTGTTGTCTGGAAGGTGGAGAGTTCCCCTTAACTAGCACCATAGCCTCAGCCACTAAGGAACTGTGCCACTGTGGTGTGACACAGTCCCTGTCAATGATTTCTGGGTGGGTAGCTGCAAGTGCTGTTTTATGAACAGATCTCTTCCTTAATTCTGTTTTCCACCTTCTATTTCAAACACAATTGTTTTTTCTCTCTCGGTAAACAGTAATTACATTTCTTAGGCGTTACCCATTTAAAAAATCTGTTGATTTACACTATTTTTGGCACTCTTACAACATCAGTAAGGAAATGTGTAATGATTGTGGTTATTTTTTTTTTTTTAAAGATATACATCTGATTAAGAAGTGACTCTTGTACCTAGCAGGAAAGGTTCTCATTATTTTATTTTTTAATAGCTATGCAAGAACTGTTGAAATATTATTTAGTATAAGAACACATATGGTAAATTAGAATGGATTCTGTACAGCTTAAAAATAACACTCTTAGCTGTCAAAATAGAACTAATTTTTTTTCTAAGGACCCTTTGAAGATGGCTTTTAGAATAACAAAATAAGGTTTTTGGAGAATTCAGATACACATGCAGATTGCTTACTATTTTCTGGGAATTGTTAGACCTGGGGTGGAGAGGATATAGAGATAGATAAGGCTCTGTGACTCCCACTTATAGAAGCAGAAATTTTCTATCTACTCGTGGATAATTAGAAAACTCTACAAGTCACTATAATTTAAACTGGAATAAAATAACTGATATTTTAGCAGAGAAAGAAATACCATTAGTGAGTCAAGAAAGACTTCATGCATGATGTATTTTGAACCATGACAATTTTTATTATTTATACAACCAATTTTTATATTACTAAGACAAATTTTTGTGAAATAAAACTCTTCATTAAGAACAGTTGAAAAATACAGAAGCAAATCATGGTATGTAACTTCCTTTTCAATGACAGATAAAAAAGGGTTAAAAAAGTATGTGTCTGTGCTACACTGTAGTTTTTTTAATGGAAATTAAAATATTTTGTTAAGTAGTCTGTGATATTTTCCCTTACACTTTGCAGCCCAGGTATACTTCAAAACTGTGATCCCTCTCCAAGAACCGCTCTCTCTCCGACATCATGGAAATTCTAACATCTAGGTGGAATATAATTTGAAAAAAAGGATATCTAGTTTAGGCATCAAATAAGTTAATTTTTACAGTTGAATTATGAGATATTTTAATGCCTTTCCACAAAAGACTCTGGAAAGCAGCAAATTTATTTGCATTGAGTGCCGAGTGGGACTTTTTACTTTGTGTAACTAAAACTAATGCAGCATTCATTCCAGAAAATCGTTTCTCAGTTTGTCTCTTCTTCACTCCCCCTCGCCGTTTCTCTCAATAATGACTTAAATGAGTTACTACTGTTTTTGCCTTAGTGTTCCCCGTAGATAATCCCAAAGTATTACCAACTAAAATAGGATATCGTAGGGAAACACTGAACTACTTTAGTCATCACATACAGTTTCTCTCAGATTATGCTGTAGTCTGCATTGTAAGAGCCATTGGTAATTTTGAACAGAATTCACCATATTTTGGGTGTGTGCAGCGAGTGTAGGCTCCTGTAATCCTATGTTTGGGCTTACTAAAATTGGTCATTAGACTCTAGTACTTGGAGGGAAAAAGTTGTAATTTGGGACTGATTATGCACTTGGAGGACCAGCCCCTCACTCAGTTTCTGTTGTTTTTTTTCTGACTGCCTTT